CACGCACACACAATAGGAGCCGAGGGAATCCAATGCATCCACATCACACTATATGGACAATACATGTTGTATAAATATGCGAACAAACGTACATATACATATTTTCCAGTGGAGTGAACGTTTACAATATTGACCTTAAATAAATTTGCAAAAAGGGCAGTTTGTCTTTTAGTCGCTCTTGTGGTGCTTCCCCCACATGAGACTTCACTTCATGTAACGCTCCAGTTTGTGATGGACAGATACTCGACGGCATAATGTGATTTAATGATGATCAAGATAAGTTTATTTTAAAAGAAGAAGGAAAAAAATAATAAGTTAAACCACTTTCTTCTATAGGTAATTTGCAATATGATTATAAGGCAGTGAATGTGGTGTTTAATCCAGAAAAAGCCTCTGGGACGGAAAAAAAAAACCCAACACACAATGGCAATAACCAGCAGTAGAAACACATGAATGCATATAGAAATATATGTTCCGTTAGAAATGAGGAAATTGGACCTTCCCCACCCCACCCCCTCCCCCCGAGCAGTTAAAAATACTGGAAATGCAAAATATCAAAGTACACAGCAGCTATACAAACTATGCATTGAATGTATGATATTTCAGACACATAAAACACAATGAAACTGGGAAGTGGAAATTAAAAAAAAAAAAAGATCCTGCAAATTTAAATTCTTCTGCGTGAAAGTGTTAATGCTTTGGTATTCTTTCCAATATTTAACCTTTAATTTATTGCGCTTTTAAATAGGCAATAACTCAAATTCACCTGACCTAGTAAAATGTCCGAACCCCCCACCCCCACATACATCCTGGCCTAAATTTCATCTAGATGGGGACTCCAAATTGAAATCCTGCACACTCAATTTCCCATAATGCTTGTCATTACATTTGAAAACACACATGGCCTGTTAGGAAATTAATTTGAAAGATTCCCGTCTCGAAAATTCGGTGTCTGAAAAATATTTTTCAGAGGTCATTAAAGAGGAAAATGTGCATACAGACATTTTTCATTCTGTGCAATCCAATGGGTCCTGTGGAAATGTTATAAAACCGTATGTGTAGTGTGTTATTGTGGTTTCAAAAAGATGGAATGTATATCTCAAAGTCGTTATCATATATCGTGAAATTAATATTAAAGAATAAAGAAATAAGTGAAATTATATTGTAAAAATGTGTGTGGTTTTATGTAAAACGAAAACGCGGTCAGAACATGTATTTTTTTTTCTCTCTCTATAATAAAAAGACAGAAAATGGTGGAGAAAAAAGTCGCATTCATATTTATTTTTTCAATCCAAATTTAGGTTAATTGACACCGTTTAAAGGCTGCGAAGGCCTAAAAAAAGAAATAACCATATAATGTGTGTGTCTCGGTGTTTGTGTGAGAGTGGATGGGAGGTCGATACCAACCCACTCTGTCTGCTACAAATATATTTCTCTACATCTATATATTCTCGACTTTTGCCTATAATAGAGAAAGTGAACGACGTGCGTGTTTCTCCGCCGGGCCTCGCACTCCTGCGTGCTCAAATGAAGCGCATGTCGACAGATTTTCTGCTGCAGGCAGGCAGGAAATCAGGCCTTATGGTCGACCTGCTCATCCACTGCGTAGACAACATCTGGACGAACCGTTTATTCTCTGAGTGGGCTAATCTCCAGCTGTTGAACCATCAAAGCTACCTGGTGCATACGAGTGCACGGATTTACCTCACAGCGCGGAGTCCATCTAAAACTATTAGCAACTTAAAAAGGGGGGAGGGCAAGTTTCACATGTAACAAAGGTGCAGGGAGGAGGAAAACGTGGTGAAATAATGTCCAATGTGATCACCGGATTAAAAGCAGTGAAGGAACACCTTTAAAAAAACAGGCAGACGTGCTACAGACCTGTCACTGCACAGAGGTCAACGTAATGGATAAGTTGGTTAGAAGTCCTGGATTCATTGTGTTTAATACGCGAAATAAAGCGTGAATGTGAGAGAATACTTTATCCAGAGGACACGCGTCAACACGTCGGTATTTGATAGGAAATCCAACAATTTTGAGACACAGCGGAGTAAACTTGGAGAAGAAGAAAACAGCTTTACGCACAAGTACAGTTATGAACTAAATGAAGGATTTCTGACAATAACAAACCAGCAATAAGACGAGTTTCCTCCTGTAATCAGCTCCCAGACACTGACATTATCATGGCTGGGGCGCCACCTAGCGGACAGGAGAGTGACTGCTTAAAAACAGAAATTACAGCACTGTGTAACATGAAGGAATCTTATTTAGGGGTCCTTTTAAATCCCGTTTAATTATGTTACAATATTTGTTGATGGATAAAATTAGACGTCTTACTGCTCCAGGGAAACAGCCTGAAGTTCTGCACAACATTGTATTCCACAGACCTGAGCTGTGTCTTAATGGCATAAACTTAAGAGTCCATTTCTGTAATTGAACAGAGTTGGCTGACAACCACTCTTCATGACGCCTTACAGACACTTTATGGAGGCAGGATTACCAAATTATCTGAATAACCTCACAGAGAGAATCCGGTTCCACATTTTAGGAAGTTCTTGGTTTTATCCAGGAAGGTTACTCGCATAATAATTACCATATTAAAGGGTTTAATTTATACTCAACTTTAGAAAGATCAACTTCAGTTTACACTTAACCTTCTGGAAACAAATCCTTTTAGTTTTTAAATACAGCCAGAAACATGATACAACCCTTTAACCCACGAAAAACTACCAACTTCACATTTCAGCATTTTATTGTAACGGCGATTCACTGTGATGAACATGTTTATTAACAAATTAACAAAGACAGTGAATTAATACAACCTACAATCTGTGCATGCTACCAATTAAACTCTAGTGGTGTACTGGCGCCCCCTGCTGGTCTGATGAAACGGTACTTATTGGAAGCATCTCCCTCACTTTGTGTAGCACAAAGTCTTGTTTTCCAAGTACTGGAGAGATTAAAATGCACAGATGATAAACAAAATACTTTTCACTGACAGACATATACTGCTTAATTCCAATGAAAGATAATTTATTTTTTATTTCAAGTAATGGCATTTTAGAAAAGCTTGATAAAATTTCATAATTATACAAATACAGTGAAATATTTACAGGCAACAGGATGCCATCGGGTAAGATGAGGAAACTCAAAAAAGGGTAAGAAGATAAAAAAAGTGTAAGAAAAAGATAAACCAAGTGGCTCAAGATGCCTGCAGACAAACATCCATGTGAAGTGAATCGTAGTCAATGTAGCAGTACGAGCAGATTCTGATAGATCAGCTGTATGCACCGGTGTTTGTGTTTCACGCCTTTGTGTTCGGCACTAATCCGCCCTCGTGTTCATCAGATGTCGGGTGTAGGGGAACACAAGGCCTCATTTGCTGGGCTCTTCGTTGTTCAGGGTTGTGGGCTTCTTGGAGGAGGACTCAACCACCCAGGGGTGGGACAGGACTCCCTGGATGGGCAGTCTGTGCATAGGGTTGTGCTTCAGCAGCCTGGCAACCAAGTCTTTGGCTCCAGCGCTGGTGTTTGTTTGTGCAGGGTAAGTATACTCCACCTGGAAGGTAGAGACAGAAAACCAGCAGTTATAAGTTCCACTGTAAACTGCAAACTCCAGTGGGATGATAGAGACAGCTCTGAATCCATCCAAGCACTTTCCTGCATCAAGTGCTTCCTATTTACTATTTATTTCACTATGACTTGAACAAGTACTCATTTGATTCTGCATTATAATGTTAAAATAAAAATAGTAATGTCTGCTAGCTGTTGCAGTTATCCAGCCTGTGTTTACCCTCGATATCCTGCGGTAGGTCTCCTCGTGAGTTTTTGCTTCGAAGGGGGGTTTTCCAACCAGGAACTCGTAGCAAAGGACACCCAGACTCCACAGGTCCACCTTTTCGTCATGAGTTTTTCCCTCGATCATCTCTGGAGGCAAGTAATCCAGTGTTCCACACAGCGTGGATCTCCTGCACAAGGAAAGAGGAGTAGATAATAGTTTGTAGTCTCTCTGTGTGAATAATTCTTGACCGGAGCACAGACACTGAAGCCAAAAGAGTCAATTGCAAATGCAACAAAATTATTGTTGTTACTCTTCAAATATTACAATACCATGGTTAAAAGGCTTTACAGATACATTAGTTCAATAAAAAGAAAAAAGGTGCTGTTTGTACTAAAGCGTTCGTGTTTTACCTGGAGGAGGGTGTATGAACAGACCAGCCAAAATCTGCAATCTTCAGCTCCCCATTGGCCCCCAGTAACAGGTTCTCTGGTTTGATGTCCCTGTGAATCACCTTCTTGGAGTGGCAATAGTTGAGGGCATCTGCCAGCTCCATGATGTACTACAGCACATGAAGCCACGGTGAATACAACACACACTGACCGACAGCGTCCACTTCATTTTGAAGTATTCAGTAAAAGGACACAGAGCACCAACGTATGACAAGAAGCTGAAGGGCTGAACTGAAACCGTCTCATTGTACTGAGTTTGGGAACAGGAAAATACACTAATAATACACACTACATAGTAATAACAGTTTCATAACCCTATCACACTGCATAAACAAGTAACTACAGTTGGGGATGAAGTCAGGATAGAGGGGGGAGTAACGTTAACGCTAGAAGAAAACATCCGGAGAAAAGGTGTCAGCTTGATAATTCATTTAGTCATATATAGTAAACATACACAATCTCATTAACAGAGACTTCATTTGACCTGGTAGCAGATTTACTTCATAATGACGACAAAGTGTCGAACTTACTGTGGCACTTCTGTCCTCAGGAAAACTGCCACAGCGCTGCAGCTCGCTGTACAGTTCGCCCTTTGGCGCAAACTCAAGGATGAGATACACACGCGATGAGTCATGGAAGTAACCGTAGAGACGCAGGATATTGGGGTGCCTGTGGGACGTCGGAGCAGAGAAGTATTTAGCTGAAACACCCAGCCAATATTTGAAAGAGCAAATAGCAGCAGAACCAAATGAACACTGGTGTCAGCGAATGCCTCAGCGGCTGCTTTGAAGTCTGAGCTCCAACGTCTTTGCATTATGTCGGGTCAAAACTTTCAAACAGAGATAAGATTTTAACTGAAGAATAAATAAACATAAAACAAACATTTAGCTTTTCCTGAAGCTCCATTCCTTGTCATCACTGTTAACAGACACCAGCGCACTCTCTAAATCTCTATTAGAAACAGTTTCTCAAATAGTAAAGCTCAGCGTCGACTCCATGTGACACCTTCCTGTTTATACAAGAGGTCTTCTAATATGTAGCAGTGGCTGCTGTTAACTTCCAGACCTTTGTTTGTTCCTCTTCAGCTTAAACCTCACCGGTCACTGGGATTTCTGTTTGTTATAACTATGTGACATTGACAGTGAGACAGAAATGATCAGCAAGTGAAATCTCTGAACCCTTGGAAATGAATTAAGACGTCAAACTGCCTCTGGTCGTCCCAACTCCTTCAGTATTCATATCTGGCATTAACCCCAATAACCTGAACACATCACCTGAGGTGAGACTGGATCTCCACTTCTCTCCTCAGCTGGTGCTCCACACCGGCCTTCTCCAGCTGCTTCTTAAAGAGCACCTTCAGGGCCAAGATGAATTTACTTTGGCGCTCTCTGGCAAGGTAGACATTGCCAAATTTACCCTTTCCTAAGGGACGTCCGATGTCAAAGTTTTCCAGGCTCCATCGCTTGCTGTGTGAGCAGAAATGTGTAGAGTTTTGTAATCGTACCATAGATTATATGAAATATATCAGTATAATGAATCACACTTATCAGACATACTTTGATGCAGAATCGTTTGCTGAATCATTCTTGGCAGGTTTGTCTAACAAAAAAGGGGAAGAGGATATTCTTTTAGCATAAAACACAAACACTCTTTCGATTACTTTGTCCAACTTTGTATTATTCTTACTCTGTGGCTTCTCCGGCTTCGCCAGCTCTGAAGTTGGTTTGGCCGGCTCGGGGTTAACCTTGGGCACAGTCGTCTTTGACTGGTTTTGCTGGGAAACACGTTTGGACTGTGGCACCGGATTCCCTTTCTGAGTAGCAGGGTTCACATTTTGATCAACTGGGTGTGTGGACTTGACAGCAACGGAGACGTGGGACACGGGTTTCTGGTGGCTCACAGGCCGCTGAATGCGCTGAGGTCCGTTCGACACACCAAGGACCCGCTGGTGCTGAGTTGGTGTAACTACAGCCGTCTGAGAGTGTTGTGACACAGGAATCCGCTTCGGACCGTCACCGTTTGACTGTAATCAAAGGAAATCACACATTCAATACATTTGCTTTCAGACCTGAGATCAACCTGATACTTTTATGTGAGTTTGACTACCTGGGTAAACATTAAACTGATGACAAATCTTTTTTTTTACCCTCAATCCTGCCTGTTATATATATATATATATATATTCACATTCTCAGCTGTATTTTTTTGGATTCAGCCTGTTTGTGCCTACTTATTGTTGTCACTGTGTGTTTTTAAGACTCTGTACACTACAAATAAACTGAAGTTGAAAGTTTAACACATCAGTAAACAATTGTAAACAAGAGTAAACAACAGTAAACAACAGTAAACAACAGTAAGACGATGTGAGCCCACAACCTGTGTCAGGACATTGTGTATTACCTTCACTTCGGGCCTTTGAAGTTTCATATCCTTTGTCAGCTTGAGTCTGGCAGCAGAGTCCATCTTCTGTCGGAAAGTGAGAAATGGAGGTGGCATCTTTAAGTTTTAAACAAATCACAAAATATAACAAATAATATAAACAAATGAAAAAGGTCTTAACCTCTAACAAAATACCGTCTAGGTTAATCATCTCTGGCCGCATTGTCTTAATGTTAAGCTGTAACGTTGGTGTAACTTATCACTGATGCTCCCTTGCACTTTTATAACGTTAAAGAAACCGAATAAAATCAGAAAACTACAAGTTATCAGCCTTAAAATGAGATTAAACGTTAGAAATCTCCGTCGCGTTGCCAACGTTACCGTCGTTACCGTTACAACGTGAACGTTAACGTCACAGCTAACGTTAGCTTCACGGTGACGTTAACCCCAGCAAACGGCACATAACGTTACAACATGACACCACTGACAAGTATTAACTCATAATGCAACTCACCCAAAAATATTGTTATTGCACAGTGACCGATAACCCGAATTAAAACCCAGAGAAGCTCTCAAGCAGGTAGCTTGCCCTGGCTAGCGCGAAGCTAACATACGTCGGCCAGTTAACGAGAGCTGATGTTTGCAGCTACACAAACATCCGCTGTAACGTTACACGGCTGGGTATTTTATGGCAGCGCTTCCGCGGTACTTTCAAACGCCGTTTCGATGTCGTGTGAAAAGGTAAAAGCGTAAAAAGTGAGGTTTAAATCCAACTATAACGCAAACTGCGAGCGGCCGGCTAACACTGCGCTCACACACTGCCGGTTGGATTTCAAACGTCCCTCCGGTCACAACCTTTAAATACACCCGGGCTTCCGATTGGCTGAGGGAATGCTCCATGCTCGCTCGCCATTGGCTGAGGCGAAATTCAAGCCAGCGCGGCCTGTGACGTCGGAGAGGAGGTCCTCCCCAACGGCAGAGGGCGACAGCAAGCG